TGCATGTACACATACATATTGAGAAAATTATGTTGGAACCCCCAGTATGTTTTAGTGAAGGACTTATGATGATAAGTATGCGTCAACGTTCATGTAAATATACACAGCTATGAATGTTCATGGGTATAGCGCTTGAATGCTCCTCACACTCGCAAGTGTCGTGGTTTAGGGTTTTACTAAAACCCTTAACGCCTTCATGAATGTTGTATATCCGGGTTTTAGGGTCCTAGGGGTCGGGATTTTGTACGGTCACGGGTATGATTGTTTGGTGGTCCGTTGATGGTACAATATGTGTACGAAGCACCCACAATCATATATCCATGGCTGAATACTAGGCCTCCACTGAAGCGCATACGCTACATGTATATACCTGCAACGGGTATAGTTAATACAAAGCATATATGTTTTAGGGTTTATGGTTTAGAGTTTAGGGTTTACGCTACATGTATATATCTGCAACGGGTATAGTTAATACAAAGCATATATGCGGACCAGCGAGAAGTACCTTCAACCAGAGTACGGTGTTCGCCATTCGGCTAGTGTTGGTTTCTTGCTGGTAGTGATTTGCGTATCAGATATTTGGCCGAGTAGTCTTCGGCGCCAACTATTGACTCGCGTTTGCGGTCTATCTATTTATTCCTTGGGTGTAGCTCCGATTGAATTTCAGGGCTGAATATGTCCAGTCAGTTCTTCGTACTTTGCCCAAACGGCTATAATTACGAAGTACGTACCCAGCTTGAACAGACCCGATAACGCATTTTTTAAACTGACAGTGTAATAGACATCGGGCACGCGGATGTTCCTGTCAGATATGTCTTACGCACGGCCAATAAACTGCCCACAGTGGGAGCACACACATGTCTTTAGCACGTTAGCTTGTTAGTGATATGCAAGCCATCTTTGTTCCCGTATTTATGGCCAGTTGTTATGTATTTATGTGAGTATATATATATATATATGGCAAACCATTTTTGTTCCGGTATTTATGGCAAGTTGACAGGGGTTCGAAAGTGTTCACATGAACTCATGTGCAGATGTCTCTGTCACCACCCACAAACAGTGTGTTCATACGTTCACTGTATTTGTTTCGATATCTATGTTGAGCTGTCCGTGGTGTGTATACCTTCACATAGAGCTCCCAGACCTTGGCCCGGGCCTCCACTATCTCCCTATACCTAAAGAAAGATATCCTTCTTAGAGGTCGACATGGCTTATCATAGTGAACTATCTCATTTTACCTAAAGAAAGATATCTTTCTTAGAGGTAGACATGGCTTATTATAGTGAAGTTGTATTTCCCGGCTGTCTGCGATGTGTGTCCCGTCACATAGAAGTCATATACCTTCGACTGGTTCATTACTCAAGCTGTCAGTGGAAGACTATCTTCACACAGTACTCATACGCCTTTGCCTAATCCCTCCCTCACAGAGTGTACTTAACTGCAGTACCTACCTGAAAGCCTGCAAGCTCATCGACGACGCGCAACAAGCCTCTGCCATTGTGTTTCAGTATCTGAGACGACCACGACATGGCCAAGAAACTCCAGTCAAGTTAGACATCCCGAAGGCCAAGGCGTTGTTGAAAACGGTGTCTAAGTTCCCGTTCAAGACTATCGCGGTAAGTGGTTGGGTATCTTAGGACGTTTAGTTGTAGTATATGAATCTATATGACTAGATTAAAATAGATTGTGTATCGTTTATTAGTATGAATCTATATGTCTACATTAGACTAGATTGTGTATCGTTTATTAGTATGAATCTATATGACTAGATTAGAATAGATTGTGTATCGTTTATTAGGTAGTATTAGCCGAGAAACACCGGATAGATTTGACCTCAATGGCGACGGTGTTTAGTTGAATACCTTGTCCAACTTCCTAGTCAAGACGATCGCGGTATGTAGATGTGTGTAGGGGAGCTCAGCTATGATCTAAGGGCAGACATAGGGAGATGCGAACAGGTAGTATAGACATACATAGGGAGATGCGAACAGGTAGTATAAACATGCATAGGGAGATGCGAACAGATAGTATAGACATGCATTTGGGACGGACTATTCGGCCCACTAAATGTATTGCAGTATTAATTCTCGCCCAAATTCCACAGGGAGAAAAACTGCAAGGCGTGATTTTCAGCGCAGATATGTGGAAGAAGAAGGCCAAGCAGCACTGCAATATACCGACAGCCCGCGAGATATACTATGTCGATATCGAGAAGCTAAGTGAAATAAAGAAAGAAGGTACGGGTTGACACTGCACCTTCTATATAGTTCTTATCAGACTTTGCAAATTATACGGTTTTGAATGGATGTATTATGTGTATATGTGGAAAGGTGTTTGTAATTATTAGACAAAATATACATATTCGCTATTAGTATCGAAACAGTCTTTCTATATATATATATATATATATGTATGTACATGTATGTGTATGTATATGTATGTATGTG